TTTTATTTTAGAATTCCCTATTTTTAATGTTCATACAGAGATTTCTTTAACTGCAATACCGAATAGCTTCTTTGGTGTGAAAAACTATAATAGTACACAGGATCCTAAAGCTGTGAAATAGGAAGTAAAGTGCTAAAGGTGTAGGGAAAGTGGGAAGGGTGGGGGAAAGGTAATAAGGGAGAGAAAAAAAATATGAGAAACTGAAAAAATGGAAATAAAGTGTTTGTAAATGGGGAGGGGAGGAGGGGGTGAAGGGAGGGCAGGGACAAGGGGAAAAATGAGAATCAAGACCTATTATATAAAGGTACAGAATCCCAATAATGAATGTAATTGTATTGTATACCTAGATTGTACCAATAACCTCAATAAAAAGAAAAAAATTACTCTCTCTTGAACATCAATGACTCATACATTCACTCTTTTAATGCTATTTTACAGACCATACAAGGCTTTTTTATTCATTCCTTGTTTTTCTTCCCTCATGTATTTTCAAGTCCTGTACGCAAGTTGAATGATTCTTCTAAGTTTCTCTACCTCCATCCTGACAATAGTTGTTTTTTCGCCAAGAAATCTGGGTTCATTTTATTGGAAGAAAGTATTTGGAAAGAAGAATGGGAGTGTAATGTGTGATTATTTTTACACAGGTTCCATTGATTCTATACTTTTTCTTCCCAATTTTTATTTGTTATTGTTTTTCCAGAACAGTGATTTCATTCCCTATTGGAATGATAGTTCATACATGTACACAACACATGTTAATTCTATTATAAACTCCTTCCCCTTCCTTTCCTCCATCACCCATTATCTCCTGGTCCCCTTCATTTTTTCAAAAGATCTGTTTCCCTATTTTCCACCATCTATAATTTATTTTTCTCTTTATTTGTATTTGGGGTTTCTTATAAAAATAAAGCATGTGATGTTTAATTTCAAATCTCTGATTTATTTTATTTAACGTTATGATCTCAAGGTGCATTCATTTTTACAAGTGATTCAAGTTTATCCTTCTTTATGGCACAGTAGTACCTCTTTGTATAAATGTTACACTTTCTTTACCTATTCATCAAGCAATACATTATATATGTTATAGCTTCAAAGACTTAGCTATGATAAATTGTGCTGCCTTAAACATGTGCTTGCATGTATCACTATAATATTATATACTTAACTCTTTTGGGAATATACATACAGGGGAAATAGCTGGCTCAAACGGAATTTCTGTTTTCCTTTTTTCCATTAAATTTATTGGTACATTTAAACAAACAGTACAGTTACATTTATCCTTGGGGTCTTGTATGTTTCTATGATATATCTTGGTTCTCGTTTTTTCCCCATACCCCTGCTCTCCCTTCATCTTTCCCTATTTATAAAGACATTGTTTCCATTGTTCATTTTTTCACATTTTTTTCTCTTCCCTTATTTCCTCTCCCCTTCCCTTCTCATTTCCCCTTTAGCCATTTTCTTCCTATTTCATCCTCTCAATTACACCATTTGAACATTATTTACACTTTTAGTTTTTCACACCAGAGAAACTATTCAGTATTTACTCAAGTATGTCCTATTTATTTCACTTAAGAATATAGTCACAAAGTACTATTTTCATTTTTAAAGGAATCTCTGAATTAATTTCCATAGTAGTTGTCTAGAACTTACTGGAGAAAAATATGAAATAGTTTTTTAAACTTTTGGAACTGGTGGTCCTTTACTTGTTATTGACTCATTGCATCTGTACAACTCTGCAGCTCCAAAGCTGTCTTATTATTGTACTGTAATGCAAGAATATACTGTGCAGTCTTATGCTTTATTTTTTGTTATTATTGGTCATATTAAATATAATTGCTTTACTCCATCCTGAAAATTACATAAGTGTCTTTCTATTCTCAGTTTAAGCATGATCTATTTTGTAATTTTCCTAAGATGCTTTCATTAGAATTAACAGTTCCTTCCTTTACTCTCCATACATAATATAAAACAGACACCATTAGAGCATTTGGAAATTGTATTGCCCCCCTCCTTTTTTGGAACCGGGGATTGAACTCTGGTCCTTGCGCTTGCAAGGCAGGCCACCAAAGCGCTGAGCTAAATCCCTGGCCCACCCCTATCTTTTTATAGGAGCACATTCTCCAGTCGAATGAAAGTGGAAATCAATTATGACTTACAGTAAGGAAAAATAGTGAAATAAAGGCAGAAGAATAACCAAATATGTGAATAAAGTCTATCTTTTTTGTATCTATTTCCCTGCTGGTGCTTTATTTTACCCAATCAAAATAAACTCACTCATACACACACTTTTATATGGAGAATGTCCTGCTAAAACTTTCCAGGACATACCCAGCCCCCAAAACTTTTCTCCAAGTACTGGGCCACAGTCAAGGTTAAGTGATCATTATAGGGTCCAGCCACAACCTGGATTCCTAGAGGAAGTCCTTCGGTATTCAAACCCAGTGGACACTGAGTCACAGGCAAACCCAGGGCATTGAAGATACCTAAAAAAAAAAAAAAGTTAAAAAAATAGGCCTAATTTGAAAACTTATTTTTCTCATCATTTTATCTATAAGAAGCATAAAAGCTTTAAAGACATTTAGTTTGACTCTCATAACTTATCCAGAAACTGTGTCAAATAAATATTTGAATTGGTATCCAAAAATTCATATTAGGAGCTAATTATTATCTTTATTTTTCTGATGAAAGAATTTAAGAATAGAAAAACTGGATAATATGTTTAAGTTTACCTGGCTAATAAAAGCTAAATTCAGAATCTTAACACAAAAACGTTTGGGATCAGCTGAGTATGTTAGAATGTTACCACTGTGCTATTCCTAAATTGTGGAAAATAGCATTTTCAGAAAGGAAAAAACAGAATGAATGCTAAGGTAAAGTAATATGTTCTCAAATGAATAGACTTTCCTTTTACTTATGGACATTGTGTAATATTAATTTCCACTAGACTGTTGTAAACTGTAATTTTTTAATTCATTAGTTTTACAAAGCTTTGTTGCAGCATAATTCACATATGATTCTCCCTATTTCAAGTGTATAATTCAATCATTGTTAATAAATTTAACTAATTGTTCAATTAGCACCATAACCTAAATTGAACATATCTAACACCTACATAATCAATTCTATAGTAGCAATCAATTTTTCTTCATTCCCCTACTATCCAAACTTTTAGACAACACTAATCTGGTTCTTGCCTCTATGAGTTTCTTTCCCTGGACATCTCCATTGAATAGAATCATATGATTTGGTGCATTTTGTCTGAATTTTTGACTTAGCAAAAGGCATTCAAGGTTTATCCACGTGATTGCTTTTATTTCTAAGCAGTATAACATTGAATGAATATGCTAAATTTTGATGATTTATTCACCAATTTAAAGACAGTTTAGCCTTCTTTTGGCTATTATTAATTATACTGTGATAAACATAGAAATCTACAAAAATGTTTTTCTATACTCATATGTACAAAAGACTGAAATTTTTGGTCAGATATTAAATTTATGCTTCATACGAAAACATTATATATCATAAAGACTCTACTGGTTTTGCACCATCCTATCAAAATGTATGAAAAAAATAAATTAAAAAAAGAGGGAGGAGGGAAGGAAAAATGTATGATATGTTGAGTTCCTCTGCTTGTTAATGAATACTTATTTTGTTTAGCATAGTATTTTAATGCGTGTGCTGTGATACTCCATTGTGGTTTTAAGTTAAATTTACCTGAATAATGATGTTGAACATTTTTATGCACTTATTTTTATGCACATTTCTATATCTTCTTTAGAGAAATATATATTGAAATCCATTGTCCACTTCTAAACAGTTTTTATGTATTATCATTATTTTAATGTAATATTATTGAATGGCAAAAATTAAATACTTAGTACATATAGAATTTGCAAATATTCTCTCCCAGGCTAATGTTTTCCTTTAACTTTATTTATGTAGTTTCTTTTAATGGAAATTTTAAATTATTTATGAAGTCCAATATTTATATATTTTCTTTTATTGGATATGTTTTCCATGCTCTGTCTGACTAAGCTTTGACTAATTCAAGGCCACAAAATGGTTTCTTTTAAAACATTTGCAGTATTAGCTGTAATATTTAGATAGCTCATGCATTTTAAGTTAGTTTATGCATGTGTTATGAAATAGGGGTTCAATTTCTTTTACATGTGATTATCCAATTATCTCAAATCACTTTATGAAGATAATAATTTCCCCATAGATTTATCTTGGAATTTTTGCCAAAATTTTAATTATGAGAACAGTAAAGAGTGATGTTAACAAGATGGAGGAAGAGGAATTCTACATCTCCACTAGTGTTCACAAAAATACAATTATCCATAGATAAGAATAGTTTCTTGAATATCGCTGAATGTGGGAGGGCAGAGACAACTCATCTGATCACCAAACCCAGAAGAGCCACATTCAAATGGTATGAGGAATGGCTTTATATTGAACATATCATACATCCCACAAGCTTGCATAGCACCACATACAGAAGTGACCAGGTAAACTTTGGCAGTAGTTCAGCATTGTAGCAAATAGAAGTGCCACATTAAAGATACTAGCTAAGAGCATAACTCTGAAGGAAGAAGATTCCACAGATATGCCAGGCACAAGGCATTAGTCAGCTCTCCTATAAACTACTGAGATCTTCTTCAGAATTAGACAGGTTGAGGGGCAAGGGCAGGTGAGTATTTATTTGTGGAAGGAGTTATCTGGCTTATTCAAAGCCAGTAGCAGTAGTGATCCCACATATTCCTGGTTCTCCTAAGTCTTTCCCAGGTTATATAGCCAATGTAGGGCCTGTAATACTTGAGCATGGTCACATCTGATATATTGTTCAACTCCAGTAGTCATCTAATAATTGCCCTGAGTGCCATTGCTCTTCCTAAAGACTTATCTACAAAGGAGCACCTCATCCAGCCTACACCTAGTGGCCAACCAGTAACCTCAGAAAGTTGGTACTCACTTAAGCATTGTCTAGGAGGGATGGCAATTTTTGGCCCAGGAATATCAACAGAGAAGAAAAAAATGGCCCTTTCCAAGATGAGATCCCACTCAGTCATGGTGATCACTTCATTCTTTTCCAAGACTAAAATCTCGGGCAGGTCAATAATCATCAATGGCATGAAGGATGTGGTCCTACCTAAATTCACTCCCCAGGCAACAACTTACTTAAGACTCAATTATTTCATTAAGCATTGCTCAATTTGGGAGACTTGTAATCCACATTTGTACCACCTCCTTTTAATCTTTTCTTACTTTGTTATTCAAAGGCAATTTTTTTACATTCCCATTACTGCACTGTTACACTTAGTAATGTAACCATTAGTATTTATAGATTTTCAGATAGCTAATTATATCTTATTAAGTTGAACACTGTTGAAATATTAATGTATATGGAATTGCTCCATTAATTAGATTATAC